CAAAAAATGAGAATAAATCAAATACAAAGGGGTTAATACTATTTAGGCAGCAAATATTTGTATTTTTTGCATTGAAATGCCTCGTACGTAGGACACATTCAATGTAAAAAAAGATTACAGTCCCCCATGTATGTTTGAATTAGTTAACTAGGACAGCATACAACGAACCAGCCAATATTCAGCACTTATATCCAGTATTGTAGATTTGCAGCTTAGTATTGATCTAAATCAGGGATGGTGGTGGGGGCCGCAGATTCACTTGGAACACACACACACACACAAATGACATGTATTGTATGTAATTGTAGTTGTCTAACTTGAACCTAGCTAAGACTGCTGTTCCTCAGCGCCGCTCCCCCTCCCTCCCACTGACATTATGAATGAAAAGCGTTTAGTAATCATAGATAACACGGCAGGGTCCGTGACAGTTTGGTTTCATCTGATTTCAAATAAAAAAAGTCTTGGTTTTTAGAATATTAAACTTGTTTCGCCAAATTCAGATGATAAATACAGCTGTTAAGCTTGTAGAGGCATAATTACAAGCGGTAACGTCACAGCAGGCATAACAACAGCCGGTGTTTCTTGTGAGGGTTGCCCCGGGCAACAAACACAATACACACAAACGCCTCACAGATTCTTTTTGCGGTATTTGGCTGCCGAACGAAATCATGTACGCAGCTCGCGACGTAGCTAGGAGTCTAGTGGACGGTATCAGTACTACAAATTAAAAAATATATATTTTTATTAATTACGTTGTTTATAAATTAATCTCAGGGCCGCAAAAAGAGGAGGTGGCATTTGCCCATCCCTGATCTAAAAGAACTAAACAGATGAGGTTTTGCTCAGTCTTTCCATTTCTAATCTCACTCAGAGCCACAGATGTCTCGTTCCAATACCATCAGAGGCTTTTTCACATTCATTGATTCCCAAAGACAAGCAGAGGACCTGTTGTTTCTGAAATGGCACGAGTTATCCACCGTGCAGCAAAACCCATGTGCTGCACGGTGGATAACTCGTGTTTTCAGAATGAGAATCAGAAAGTAGAGTTCCACGTTCAGGGGATTTGCTCTGGTGTGTTTCATACATAACACACAGAAAGAGAAAACATTTAAGAAAATGACCAAAAATGATGATATAAACTATTTTAACATAAGAAATATAGAGAAAAATGAACACTAATTATAAATATACGACAAAGAAAACAAATAACAGGATAATATGACAAAATAAATTGAGTTTAAGCATTATTTGGATCTAAAGTGGTGCCTTTAAATCGTTTTTACAACCGTAATTAAGCTCAACACAAGCTTAAATTACACATTGAGTGTTGCATAATTAGACTTTCCTTCATACACAGGTGTGCAGCCATCAGGGTTCTTACGCTCATTAAAAACCTGGAACAGTCATGGAAATTCAAAATGCTAATTCCAGGCCCTGGAAAAGTTCTGGAAATCAATATTTTCCCAACGTTTTGGAAAAGTCATGGAAATTTAAGTAAAATTACATCAAATATAATTTATATTTTAGCTAATCGCTGAAATAGTAATACTATAATGATAATACATACTGTATCGTATAGTAGTGAAACTGTCGAGGTATTTTGCTGGTGAGAGATTTTAGTAGAAGCTAGTAAGCCTATTGGATTTGTTTTAGATATGCAGACCTTATGTTCCTGTTCCATGTTAAAATAAACCATTTTCAGTGGTCCCGCTGAGAGTACTTTTTTTGGTCTTGGAAAACGAGGTAAAGGTCCTGGAGAAGTCATTGAAAAAAAAGTGCAAAATCACAAAACATTTTCTTTCAAAAGTTTCCAGAAAGAACATAAAAAGCCTTTTAATTTGTTTTATTCTCTCTTTGATTTTAGTTGGTTTAAAGCACCGACATCTAAAAAGCCTCATATGCATTTATAGATATCTATGATGATGATAATGATAATAATGGAATCAAATCTGCATAAACATTGCATCAAAAACTCCATCAAGCGTGTTTAAGAATCAGCTGTGAAGAAATTGTTGATTGGTTTTCCGCTTCAATGAGATTTTAGAACATTTGGACAAAATGCCCCATCTCTCCATACATGTACAAACATCATGATGTGTGTTTGTGTTGTTATACAGACACAGGTGGAAGTCTAAACCAAAAATAATATATATATATTTTATCTATCATTAATAAACCCCTCCCCCCCCTTCTCTCAGATTGATGGTATGATCTAACTGGTTCGAACCCATTTGAGTGAAAACGGGGGTGCATGTGGCTAAATATCATTATTATACAAGTGTGTGATTACAGACACTTCAGTTTAGCATCACACACACACACACACATACATACACATACACACACACACATACATACATACATACACATACACATACACACACACTCTTAAGGAAGACAGATGCCCTTTATTCATTGGCTGGGTGAAGGATGGATGAATGTCTCCACTGGGGTTTACACACACAGACACACACACACACTCTCTCACACGCACAGCAGTTTTTTCTGGGGGGGGGGCTGGGCACCAGATGAGCGTGGTGATAGAGGCAGCGTCCCTCTCCATCTGTCACACACGCACACACACTCATAGTCACCAGCTGGAGCCACCAGAGAAAGTGTGTGTGTGTGTTTTTAATTTAAATATGAAGTATCATTAGGATAATAAAGTTGTGTTTTTGATTAGACCATAAAAAGGTCAACTGTGTGTGTGTGTGTGTGTGTGTGTGTGTGTGTGTGTGTGTGTGTGTGTGTGTGTGTGTGTGTGTGTGTGTGTGTGTGTGTGTGTGTGTGTGTGTGTGTGTGTGTGTGTGTGTGTGTGTGTGTGTGTGTGTGTGTGTGTGTGTGTGTGTGTGTGTGTGTGTGTGTGTGTGTGTGTGTGTGTGTGTGTGTGTGTGTGTGTGTGTGTGTGTGTGTGTGTGTTCGTTCACATTAAATCTCTGAATTATTTAAACTCTGCTTTTTGTGTTAAATGCTAGCTAGCGGAAATTCCATGTATATATAGTTTATATTTTTTATGTCAGTATATTGTATTTTGCGTTATTGAAAGAGCCTGGGACTTGAGATTCACTTTGCTTTCACTTGAAATGTTAAATTAATCCTATGATTCTTGAATATTACATTTATTTACTGCTTTTCTAAGTTTCTAAGTCCTCAATGAGACTTAGAGCAACTTGCAGGTTCGAGACACCAGTGAATAAATGTGTAGGATAATGATGAATACACCAGATCAGGGGTCTTCAACTAAAATTCAACGAGGTCCAGTTAGAGAAAATGTCCCCATGCAAAGGTCCGGAGCTTCAAAATGTCTAACTTGCTTCATGAATTAATGTGATATATATTGAAGCAGCTGCAGCTTCATCAACGTCTGCATGTAATCAACAGCTGACTGCCAATCAATCAAATAAAGTACAATTCAAAAACAACAATATTTATATATATTTTGTCAATTAACATTGAACTCTACAGATATACAGTAAACACTGTGGATGTGTGTAATGTTCCTCTCGGGCTGCATTTCAAAATGAAATAGAGAGAATAAATAAAATAGCTTTTGAAAATATGTGCATCTTAAAGTGCTTAATTTTAGATAATAAAATAAAGTGTAGCAGCAGCTTGAGTTTCCCTGTTTCTTTGTTAACCGTTTCACGTCATGACTTAACAGTTTCAGACAATTATAGAACAATATCAGTCTTTACACATCATAACAATTGAACAGTTTTAAAGTCTCTCTTTCTTTCCCTCTTATATTGCAGTCCCTCACTTTGTTCTGTTCAGTGTGAGAATTGAGCTGGAGCTTGTCCTGCCAGGAGTTTGGATCTGGTCTGAAATGGTGTCAGGGCCATTCTCACACACACATGCAGGTGCTCATTGGTTAGCCTCGGTTAGCTCATTGGTTACCCTCGGTTAGCTCATTGGTTAGCCTCGGTTAGCTCATTGGTTAGCCTCGGTTAGCTCATTGGTTAGCCTCGGTTAGCTCATTGGTTAGCCTCGGTTAGCTCATTGGTTAGCCTCGGTTAGCTCATTGGTTAGCCTCGGTTAGCTCATTGGTTTGCCTCGGTTAGCTCATTGGTTAGCTCATTGGTTAGCCTCGGTTAGCTCATTGGTTAGCCTCGGTTAGCTCATTGGTTAGCCTCGGTTAGCTCATTGGTTAGCCTCGGTTAGCTCATTGGTTAGCCTCGGTTAGCTCATTGGTTAGCCTCGGTTAGCTCATTGGTTAGCCTCGGTTAGCTCATTGGTTACCCTCGGTTAGCTCATTGGTTACCCTCGGTTAGCTCATTGGTTAGCCGTTAGCTTCATTGGTTAGCCTCGGTTAGCTCATTGGTTAGCCTCGGTTAGCTCATTGGTTAGCCTCGGTTAGCTCATTGGTTAGCCTCGGTTAGCTCATTGTTCCGGTTAGCTCATTGGTTAGCCTCGGTTAGCTCATTGGTTAGCCTCGGTTAGCTCATTGGTTAGCCTCGGTTAGCTCATTGTTACCCTCGGTTAGCTCATTGGTTACCCTCGGTTAGCTCATTGGTTAGCCTCGGTTAGCTCATTGGTTAGCCTCGGTTAGCTCATTGGTTAGCCTCGGTTAGCTCATTGGTTAGCCTCGGTTAGCTCATTGGTTACCCTTGGTTAGCTCATTGGTTAGCCTCGGTTAGCCTCGGTTAGCTCATTGGTTAGCCTCGGTTAGCTCATTGGTTAGCCTCGGTTAGCCTGCCCTGGAACGATATTTATTTGTTGTGACCTCAGTTCTGACTTGAGAGGGAGTGTTTGGTCAAACACTTTGTGTTTTGTCTCATAGTGGCGTTGTGGCACTTTTAATGAGCGCCACGGTCTCTGAACAAATGAGACACACTGGCTCTGAGACGAGGGAACAGGAAGTGGTGAAACGCTAACTCACTTCCGGGTTTTAGGACTTGTCACTGCACCACTCTATTTACTGTGAGGATTGACTGGAGCCCAAAGGATGCTTCAGTCTGACTTTATTGAATAGCTAATGATGTGTTTTTCTGTCCCTGCAGGACGTGTCGTATCTGAACCGAGACACCAGCAAGGTGATCGTGGTGGACTGTAAGAGGGAAGCCTTCCGCCTGCAGCCTTTCAACGGCATGGCTCTGAAGAAATGGGACGGAAACTCAGAGGATCGAACGCTGTACGACCTCGCCAACTTCCTCAAGAGTAAGAAGACCATAACATTCAAAGGTTTTATTCATATGCACAAAGCCACAGACGGTGTAGAAATGGCAATGAAATTCTTCTGACCTGAGCTCCTCCAACAAAGCATAAAAAGACAAGGCATTGTACAATCAAATTAAAAGACAAGAAATAAACATTAAAAAATGTCAACATCTCAATAGCAATGAAAAAATAAATGTAATTACAAATTGACAGCAGGATATTATATATACATAAGTATTATTAATGCTATTTTATTTCTATTTGAGACGTTTACATTCTGGAAAGTTTGTTTCTACTCCTTTAATTTCTCTAATGTGCAATGCCTTGCCTTTTCATGCTGCTGCAACGCAAACAAATCTCAAATTGGGATCAGTAAAGTACTTCTTATCTTATTTGTACAGATTAAACTAGCTAGATGTGTTATTAAGTGAGCTTCATCTCGCCTCAGAAAGAGAAGGAATAATCCTATTTTCTAAATGTATTTTTGTTGTTGTTTCTCCTGCAGCTATTGCTCTGAGCGGCGTGGATGATGTTCGCTCGGTGTTGGAAAACTACGCTCTGGAGGACGACCCCATCGACGCTTTCAAACGCAGACAGGCCCAGCTGGCACAGGTAAGAAGTTTATAATGCTGAAGTGTAAATGCGAAAAAAGCTAATGTTGGGCTATAAAGGAACTACAGCACGATCACATGACTTCACGTCACCACCGCTAAGCTAAAGGTGGCTAATGTTGGGCTATAAAGAAACTACAGCACGATCACATGACTTCACGTCACCACCGCTAAGCTAAAGGAGGCTAATGTTGGGCTATAAAGGAACTACAGCACGGTCACATGACTTCACGTCACCACCGCTAAGCTAAAGGTGGCTAATGTTGGGCTATAAAGGACCTACAGCACGGTCACATGACTTCACGTCACCACCGCTAAGCTAAAGGTGGCTAATGTTGGGCTATAAAGGACCTACAGCACGGTCACATGACTTCACGTCACCACCGCTAAGCTAAAGGTGGCTAATGTTGGGCTATAAAGGAACTACAGCACGGTCACATGACTTCACGTCACCACCGCTAAGCTAAAGGAGGCTAATGTTGGGCTATAAAGGAACTACAGCACGGTCACATGACTTCACCTCACCACCGCTAAGCTAAAGGCGGCTAATGTTGGGCGTAATGACGTAATTTAGACACTTGTTAGCAACTCTCTATTGAGATTTTGACTTCCAAACAAGGGAACAGGAAGTGGTAAACATCGAACCACTGTGCCTTTGAGTCTGAAATGTTTATTTGTATATAAAAAACTAACTTTAATCTCCTCTTTCTTTGTTTCTCAGGAGGAGGAGCAGCGTTTAGCGGAGCTCGCCCAGCAGAAGAAACAGGGCCTCTCTCTTGGATCCATCGCCTCACGGTTCTGGCGCTCCAAACCCCAGTGAGCCCCGCCCCCTTTTCACACTTCCACCAATCAGAGCCCGGCTTCTGCTCCGAAGGGGGAGGGGCCACAGATGAAGGGGAGGCGGGGACTGGAACAATGGACCGCTCTCTGCTCCAATAAGAGACGTACTTCCTGTTCTTTTGGAGGCGGGGCTTCGGCCTCCCGTTTTGGTGTCACCTGATCAAGCTGCTGAATGGTTTAAAAAAAAAAAGAGAGAGAAAGAGAGACAGGTCAGAATGATGAACTCTGTTGCGGTTTTAGAGGCTGGTCTGAGATCAGCGCCGCATTCGCTACTCCGGCTCTGCTCGGCCCGCCGCGCCCGCAGGATCTGACCTGAGATCAGCTGCAAGATGTGTATTTAATTTTATTTTCTATTCCTCTGTGAGTGTGTGTGTGTGAGTGTGTGAGTGTGTGTGTCCGATGGGCTGCTGGAGGTAAATAATGAATATTGTTTATAAGAAATAAAAGATGAACAGTAAGTAGTGTAAGAGTTTATTCAATATGTTCGGCGGCAGAATGAAGATGCTATCGGCAGCTGAGCAATTTACCTATTTTTGTTAAAGGGTCTGTTTTTTATTCAATTTGTTTGTCTACATATTCCCCCAAAAAGACTCTGTGCTGTGTCTCCCTTCAGATCAGGAAGCAGCGTGATCTACTGTGAACACCTGCGCAGTGTGTGAACTACAATCACCACAATAGCCGCTGTTAGCTTGCTAGCTAGCAACGTTATCATTTGCAGTAACGAAAAATCTTTACAGACGGATAAATTAACCACGGGTTCTTTCCCACATAGTGGAACGTAACTTAAATAGTGAACAAATAAACACTTTTTATTTGTAGAGTGCTGTGTTTAACGGAGCAGTCTCAGCTAGTTACGTAGATTTGGTTAAGTAGCGTTCGTTACGTAGCGTTCGTTACGTAGCTTTGGTTACGTAGCTTCGGTTACGTAGCTTTCTTTACGTAGCTTCGGTTACGTAGCTTTCTTTACGTAGCTTCGGTTACGTAGCTTTCTTTACGTAGCTTTCTTTACGTAGCTTCGGTTACGTAGCTTTCTTTACGTAGCTTCGGTTACGTAGCTTTCTTTACGTAGCTTTCTTTACGTAGCTTCGGTTACGTAGCTTTCTTTACCTAGCTTCCGTTACGTAGCATCAGTAATGTAGCATCAGTAACGTAGCTAGTTAGGTAGCTGGAGTTACGTAGCCAAGATGGGCGTTCATGTGTACAGAAATGTCCAGCGTTTGGCATCGTTATCTGCATCCTCACATTGGTTCCTAACGAAGATTAATATCTTTAAAAACACAAATATATATACTTAAATAAAAAACAAATATGGGCAAAAATGTCCACAAACAGCTGCTCACTCTAGTTTTTAAACAAGGAAACAAGAGGAGTGAGTAGGTTTGATTGGGACTACTTTCTGCGGCAGATTAATCCGCATTTATGGAAATCCATTTTCAACCTAAATGCCAGAATGAATGTCCAAAAAAGTCAGATTATATTATAATTTGAAAGGCCATTTTTTATGGTGGAAGGAAAACGTCCGTCTAAAACAACTCCTACTTGTTCTACGTGTTACTGGTGAGGATTTACGCCTCTAATAAAACAAGTTCCTAAATGGTTAAATAAATGCCTAAAAAAGCTGCTAAATTTAGTATAAACATTTTTTTTTACAGGAGGAAAATTGTGCTTTTTGTTGGGACTACTTTCATCGGCGGATTAATCCACGTTTGTTGCTGTATTTGTGACGGTGTGTGTGGGGGTCTAAATTAAACTAAAGTGTGTGTTTATGGTAACTAAAGAACCTTACAAACCTGTTTCGGAGAACTTTTCCTCTAAATATACAATATTTGTTTGTTTTTTTACTATAAATGTTTTTAATAATCCTACATATTTGCGTCCTTTTCTCCCCAAACGTTTTACGCTCAGCTGCCGTTCTTCTTGGTGTGTTTATTGAAAGATTGTGAGACTCATGTTGATGTGAACTCACCATCGACGTCCTCAATAAAGCGGAGAAACCAACACGTTGTTATCGCTTTATTTACTCTGCTTTTAATAATGTGTTTTCCTCGGGAGGGTTTTTACACCACGTTGTAGATGTGGCCTTCTTTGCTCCACAGGATCGATTTCATATATTATGAATTGCTTACTTCACTTTTTCCACTTGTGTTTACGACCCTTTAAAAGCTGCATTTCAACTCATTTGCAAAAAACAAGCAGGATTTATTTAAGTTCCCGCAGGACTCAATCATGTTTAATAAATAACTCTTTTAAATCTGCTTTTCCAGAGTAATTTGACTAAGATTTGTGTCATATTTTACAGATTAAGTGTCATATAACTTGTTTTGGTTACTTTTTCCACTTCTGTTTACGACTCTGAAAAAGTGAATTTCCACTCATTTACAGATTTTACTCCTGCAGGCTAATACAGTCAAATACCCACTTTCCTTTCTCTGAGTAAACGAGTACATCTTGGAATATTTAAACTATATACTTGTTATTATTTACAGTGCATGTGTCATTGATATTATTGTGTATCCACATGGGTCACCCATTCTAGCCACGCCTCATATCCCTCTATTTCACTTCCTGTTTCTAAAGTGCTGATTTGGGGATAAAGCTTTAAAGAGGAGGGGTCTGAGCTCATGCGGGACCCGGCAGCTACTGTCTAAACGAAATGCTGCCGTGATGAAACTCCATATCATGAATTATCAAGGATCTGAAACAGTATGGAGCTCAAAGGCTTTCTCTCTTGCCGGTTATACCACAAGGTGAGTTCCTTTTTACTTCCTGCTTCTTCACACACATGCTCTGCAGTACAGGTTAGCTCTGAGCGTTAGCGATGCTAATGTAAACACCGACCATATTACGTCCAAAACCCCGACACAACATGTGTCCCCGACACAACATGTGTCCCCGACACACCGGGGACACATGTTGATGTAGAGAAGACATCACAAAGTGCATTTTGCATGATAGGTCCCCTTTAAAGGTAACATCTGTAGTTTTCTCTATTTCTTTACCATAAAACCCAAGTTTGAAACCCAGAATTCAGGATTACTTTGCTTTGAAGTAGAAAGTCTTCTGTTGTAATATCAAATAAATGCCCAATTGACTCTCTTTCCTCTGTCTTCTTCAGTATGACTAAGGACATTTTAATTGTATACTTTGCACTATTTTCCATTTCATATTTATAATAGTAGAAGGAGACACACGTAAACGTTTCTTTTGGTTGTACTTTTTACATTTTCAAGCTGCAGTAAAGAAGCAGTTTTTTATGAGATTTAAATATATTTGTAGGTTTTCTCAATATTTTGTTTGTGGAAAACTTTTTTTTTTAGGTTGAGGTAAATGTCAAATAATTGTAATTAAATTACCAATTGACAATTTAGTAGATTTAAACTGAATTATTTGCATTATATTCAAGAGTCACATTAAGGAATTTGGAGTAAAAAGAAGACGAAGGTAAAGTACTTTAAATGGACTTTAAAGCAGCATTTTGTGATGAGATTTAACGGTAAAATCTAGTTTTCCTATATCTTTGACCGTAAAACACACATTTGAAACCCACCTGACCAAAACTCAGGAACATCGATCATTCTTTGACTTACTTTGCACTATTTTCCATTTCACGTGTCATATTTATTAACTATTAGTACAAAAGGAGGCAAATATAAAGTGTTTTTTATTGTACTTATTGCAGTAAAAAAGCGAAATTTAATTTGTAGTTTTTGAGAAAATAAAGAATGGGTTCTTCTGTCGTTGTTTTTACTTTTTCAGAAAGTTTTTCAAAAAAAGGTTGTTTTTTGTGGAGTTTATTTTCTGGATTTGAAGTAAAACACTCATGCATGACACACTGCAGTCAAATATAACTGAATAAATAATCAATTTACTTTAATGTCTCTTAAGTAATTTACTACACCTCGGACGAAACTGAATTATTTGACCGTGCAGGAGACGTAAGAAGACAACGGAACATTTAAATCACAACATGCGCTCATTTTATGTTTGTGATGAGGTCATCTTTTGTAGTTCTTCTGTATATAACAGAAAAACTAGAGTTTGAAACTCGACCAAAACCTCAGGAATGTCCTCTGATCTGAAGCAGACTCCCTGCGGTGCGTTGGATCCTGTACATCTGTTTTCCTTCTCCCCTCTGCGGGAAACTTCTCCACCGACAGATCTGTAAATCGATAAATAAACACCTCTGAAGATCATCGAGAGCACAACCAGAGTGCATCATGGGTAATAAAGCTGCAAAAAAACTTCAACACCTGCAGCTGTGTGTGTGTGTGTGTGTGTGTGTGTGTGTGTGTGTGTGTGTGTGTGTGTGTGTGTGTGTGTGTGTGTGTGTGTGTGAGTGTGTGTGTGTGTGTGTGTGTGTGGTGTGTGTGTGTGTGTGTGTGTGTGTGTGTGTGTGTGTGTGTGTGTGTGTGTGTGTGTGTGTGTGTGTGTGTGTGTGTGTGTGTGTGTGTGTGTGTGTGTGTGTGTGTGTGTGTGTGTGTGTGTGTGTGTGTGTGTGTAGTGTGTGTGTGTGTGTGTGTGTGTGATGTGTGTGTGTGTGTGTGTGTGTGTGTGTGTGTGGTGTGTGTGTGTGTGTGTGTGTGTGTGTGTGTGTGTGTGTGTGTGTGTGTGTGTGTGTGATATATATAATGAAATACAGAAATAAGAAATAGTGCAAGTTGTCTGAAAATGAGTTAGTGTCATATTAATCCGAAATATATCTAAAATAAATCTTTCATTTTAATAATCTGGTCTCGTGTAGGCCTATGTTGTGTCCCCTTTGAGCTCATGTCAGATTTGTCTACTGTCATAGATTGTCCTTAAATCCACTTTTAATCCACATTTTACCATCCACTTTTAAATCTCGGTTTCAACTCTATATTTTAACCGAATCCAGGGATTTTATTCATGAGACGCCTGGATTTAAAGTGTTTAGAGAAGCGGAGCTAACGTTAGCGCTAGGCGCGGTTCAGTTCCCATGAAAGAAACACTGATTTTAAAACTAAATCTGCTTTATTACGTGATTTTAAGTGTCGAGCATAATAATTGTATTAGTACTTTTCCTCAGGTTAGTAAAACCTAATCAAGGCAACTAAAGAATATTATATATATAAATACGTTTGCTGTGATTTTTCATATATTATTATATATATTATATGCCAAGGGTATGTCCCCTCTGTAATGTTTCAGAGTCACATTGTAATTTTTAAAAGTTGAAATCATTAAAAACAACATAGAGGCTGAACATAAGCAAAACAAACCTAATAACAAAAGGCAATGTTACTTACCTGTAACAGAGTATTCCTGCACTCTGGTACTTCTACTTTTACTCAAGTACAAGATCTGAGTACTTTTACTCAAGATCTGAGTACTTCTACTTTTACTCAAGTACAAGATCTGAGTACTTCTACTTTGACTCAAGTACAAGATCTGAGTACTTCTACTTTTACTCAAGTACACGATCTGAGTACTTCTACTTTCACTAAGTACATGATCTGAGTACTTCTACTTTTACTCAAGTACACGATCTGAGTACTTCTACTTTCACTAAGTACATGATCTGAGTACTTCTACTTTTACTAAGTACAAGATCTGAGTACTTCTACTTTGACTCAAGATCTGAGTACTTCTACTTTATTTGTCCTCCATGTTCAGTTTTGAGGCGAACATGAAGCACCAAAGAGGCCCATGTGGATACCAAATAAATATATTTTCACCACTACTGAGTGAAAAAAACACAAATCCTGCCAAACTCTTTAATGACCGTTTGTCATAAACGGCATTCTGGAAATACAACAAAGCCGTAGTTTTCCTGTGTGCTGTGCTGCAGTCAGGGCTGATGGCGTTTAGAGCAAACGGATTAAAGGCTTCATTCTGCAGGAAGGAGAGGATCAGGGAGACTTCCTGCAGAGTTTAAAACACTGATCCCGCTTCAGGATTAAACATGAAATGCTGCTGTTTGCATAAGTTTCAGAGTCTTTGAATTAAATCCTGTTGTCACAGATTGAAGTCGGAAGACCACGGGCGATCTCACACTAAATAAAAGCTCCTTAATGCCGTTAAACTGAACCAAGTGGTGACAGGCTTCCTAAACAATGAAACCAGCTCAATGTGTCAAATGACTGCACCGAGAGCTGCAGGAATGATGTGCTTCTGTAGTCAGACCCTGAAGGTAGCATGTGTGACAGTTCTTTAGTTCCTTTATAGCCCAGCATTAGCCGCCTTTAGCTTAGCGGTGGTGACGTGAAGTCATGTGACCGTGCTGTAGTTCCTTTATAGCCCAGCATTAGCCGCCTTTAGCTTAGCGGTGGTGACGTGAAGTCATGTGACCGTGCTGTAGTTCCTTTATAGCCCAACATTAGCCACCTTTAGCTTAGCGGTGGTGACGTGAAGTCATGTGACCGTGCTGTAGTTCCTTTATAGCCCAACATTAGCCACCTTTAGCTTAGCGGTGGTGACGTGAAGTCATGTGACCGTGCTGTAGTTCCTTTATAGCCCAACATTAGCCACCTTTAGCTTAGCGGTGGTGACGTGAAGTCATGTGACCGTGCTGTAGTTCCTTTATAGTCCAACATTAGCCGCCTTTAGCTTAGCGGTGGTGACGTGAAGTCATGTGACCGTGCTGTAGTTCCTTTATAGCCCAACATTAGCCGCCTTTAGCTTAGCGGTGGTGACGTGAAGTCATGTGACCGTGCTGTAGTTCCTTTATAGCCCAACATTAGCCTCCTTTAGCTTAGCGGTGGTGACGTGAAGTCATGTGACCGCGCTGTAGTTCCTTTATAGCCCAACATTAGCCTCCTTTAGCTTAGCGGTGGTGACGTGAAGTCATGTGACCGTGCTGTAGTTCCTTTATAGCCCAACATTAGCCTCCTTTAGCTTAGCGGTGGTGACGTGAAGTCATGTGAGGTTGAAGAAACTGTAAAAACTGTTTATAGAAAAGTTTTTCCTATAAATAATCTTATAGTATGGATTTCAAGTGCTGTGATCATGAGATGGTATTCCCATTCAACACAATTGATTA